GACTACATTAACTCTAGTAATTCTAGGCCTATAGACCCTAACCCTAACATATTAACTTGAATATGTTTTTAAAGAAGGCAGAATAAAACAGTACAGGTTGTCCTTGCTTAATGACTGTTCGTTTAACAATGGTTCAAAGTTACAACAGCTTCGGGAAAAGTGCTTTATGACCTGTACTAGCACTTGCAACCGCCGCAAACTGTCACACCACCCCCCATGGTCACATAATCATGATTTGCTACCTTTTTTATGATGGTTGTTAAGCGAATCCCGTGGTTATTAAGTGAATTCCAGCAAAAAATGTCCATTGGGGAAGCTTAACCACCATGTGATTCACTTAACCACCATGTGATTCGCTTAATGACTATTGTAAAAATGGTCATAAAATTGGGTCTGGTCACTTGGTGACTCACTTAATGACCACATTGCTTAATGACCAATTTTCCGGTCCCTATTGTTATTAAGCAAGGACTACCTGTAAAGAAATAAATCACAGAAAAATAGGACAGTCTCCTTTGGCAAATTTCTTATCTGATATTTTCTATAGAATATAACTAATTCTGTCCCTTTGCTCATGGAAGTCTCTTCAATCTGGAGGTCATTTCTCTGAATTAAAAGATGAGAGTGATTGATTTCATTGACTTTGAATTTCCCTTTACAACTGCTTGCAGCGGCCTTCTGATACAGAGCATTGCTTTGGAAGAGAGGGGGAGATGGTGGCTGAAGCCAAAAAGGGGATTTGATAGAATTAATTCTCCCCTTTTAGTCAGAGAAGCCTCTACTGGAGAGTGGGATGGAGGGAAATAATGCAATACCAATAAGAGGGCTGAGTGGGAATTTTATGCAACTATTGAAACTGTTATATCTGGTCCTTCCCCTGAGTAGCTGTTTATTCTTGCTTGGGACCAGAGTCATGACAAAGCAAATAAGAATTGTGCAGCTGCTGAAGCTAGAGTTGACTATTCATGCTTGTATTTTCCCATATATTAGATTCGAAGTTCTTCTTTATCTCTGAATAAAAGTTTTAAAAATTGTTAAAATATGGTTACGCAATTATGAAATAATTTCTTAAAATCAGTCTCCAATTCTGGTGATTTCAGTGAAAAAGATTTTACATCTTTTATCACTTTAGGATTTAAAATTGGGACTCCATATGTAAGATGACATGTTAGATATAACCTGATTCTTAATCCAAAGGCAAACTGAGGGACTAGGGTTAGGAGAAGGGAGTGAAATCTTATGCTTCCCATATAGATTCCCTGTTCCAAATCACTCTGCTCCAATCTGCTGTTACTTATTGTAGGGAAAACATACAGATATTATAGTGAAACTGTTAGTTACAGAAGAAAATTATGCATCATTGAAATCAAACACAGCAAAAGGTTTCAGTCCAGCACTGTAACCCTATTCCAAATAGTCCCCTCTCCCAGTAGCTGCTTTTAGAAAAAGGAGCACTTTGGAAAATTGGATTATTTTTCTCCAGATCGTATATGGGTTGGCTTTTTCATTGTTTGTGTGCATCAGTCCTGATTGATGTCTAGCATCAGAAAGCTTATTATAATCTTAAACTATGTTTTGGCATTTCAGGTTGGCATCACTCTCTTCACTGTTTCTCACAGAAAATCACTCTGGAAGCACCATGATGTAAGACTTATTTTATTTAACTGTTTTTTTCTAGTGTGTAAAATCCATACTTCACAATGCAAATGCTTACTAAGGGAGTAAGACCAGCTTGGTATGTTACTGATTGATTGATTGATTGATTGATTGAGAACAATAATGTACATAGGCGGTCCTACCATCTGAAATAAGGGTCACAATCATGCAAAAGACTTATTCCTTAAATATTCCAGTCTCAAATCATAAAGTTTTGAGCCTAGAAATTAGCTTGAATTATAACTGTTTTAATAAGTATTGTATATATTTTACTACATATGGCCTACATCAAGTGTCTGGCTGCAGCATTTCAGATCAGTAGGTCCTCATCGCGGTCTCTGTGATTCAGTCCTGGAGGTCCCGCAGCTGCCTGTAACCCCATTTAAAATCTTCTAGAACTTACATAAATTGTTTGATAGAACTGTCTGTCAGGGACCGTACTTTTCCACAGCCAACAGAGAAACCCAGTTAGCTGGCACTGGAGGTATATGGCACAAGCGGTCATGTATATTCACCAGCCTGCATGCTTGCTTGCGTGGCATTCCTTGTGAAAGCTGGTAATTCCATATCTGATTGTGATGGCTGTCAGAGAGGAAATAGGCCTAGCCCGAGAAAAGTTAAGAGCTTTCAGGCTGCTTTTTAGGTTTAAAATTCTGTAAGGCAGTTTCCAGTATATAAAAACAAGACATAGAGTCAACCTCAAATTTGTCAGTAAATGGGGAATCAGAATTGAGTTTAAAGATAAATCATTTGAAGAGTATTTATTTACTTATAAGCATCCAGTACAACTCCCTTGCTATTCCTTATCACTACAGTGACCGTACATCCTTTATTATAAAGGACAGTTCTTTATTTCAGAAAGCTGTCCTTCAGATTTATGTATTCTTCAAAAACTCACTTTTGTCCTTTATTTTGGTCATTTAACTTTTACTCTACAGATGGTACCACTTAATGCACAGTCTTTCATATTCATGTGAAAAATACGGAAGTTGACTTGTCCTTTTAAAATAAATTTACATATGCTATTTGATTTTAGGTGTTTTTATTAGACTAAGCATTTTTGTAAAGTTTTTCTTGGTTTTGCTCTTGAATTTTCCTTTATAGAGCATAGTTATAAACAAACAGTTTTTTTATCCTTCTGAACCTCTTTCAGATTTGCCCCTTTTTCATGTTTGTCCTTTATTTTTCCAAGAAAATATGATCACTTATCACCCACCTTTTAAACAGATTAATATTTACATGGTATCAGGCCTGAATGTTCACTGGAATGTCTCATAAGATCCAATACAGTTGGCATGCTGCAGATCTCACCTGTTAAACAATATCATCTTATGGGATCCAGTAGGCATGTTTTCTCTGTTGCTGCACCTGGCCTTTGGAACAGTATCCCCTTGAGATCTGTATGGTCCTGATCTTATGAGAACCTTAAAGATCTGGCTCTTCCCATCTGTATTGTGGGATATTGCATGAACCAGCTTTTGAAAATTTGAGATTGTATTGTTTAGTTGTTGTGGGTTTTTTCCTCTTGGCACTGCCATTTTTTATGATTTTTTTAAAGGTGTACTATATTATTTTTAACTCTGTGCGAGCTGCCCAGTGTCACTGGCGAGTGGGCAGCCTTCGAAATTGATACTTTAAGTTAATAAATGGAAAAATACACTGAATATTTTCCCCTAATTTTTGAGTGAATAGAGGCAGGGGGTTGCTTAAGCTCTGCTATCTTAATTAGATTTTTCTTCTAAATTTCTTTCTAAGTTCAGAGTCATATAACATTTTACAACTGCAGTGGAAACTCCATTTCAAAGCTATATCTATATATTAGTATGGGGTAACGAAAGAGTGTTCCCCCTTTGGTTTTATATTTTATAAAGTATAATTTTATACTTCTCTGAATCTTGTCTATTTAGCTCATGGATAACTAAAAAAGATTGTTGATTTTTCTGTAATATTGCCCATAGTGATTGCCCATAAATAAAATGAAAACTTTTTTTAATAGTTAAGAGATGTTACTTTTGTCAGAATGTTTTATAACTCACTTGGTTTAATGCCCATTGTCTCTAATCACTCTTTGAAGAATTCAGGATTATTGTTTAACAATTTGTGAGTTTCACTAATAAAAACATTGAATACATCTTTGGAGTTAGGAGGATAAGGCTTAGGTCACTAGATGAATTATTATGGCCACCAGATGGTGATCAAATGTGCATATTTTACAGAGTGCACATTTTTCCCAGAGGAGATGTATGAATATGAATTCCTGTAGATGATCCTTATTCAAACAGATGAATTATTTTACACTTTAACATCCACATTTGCTAATTCTGTTTTCTTATCTCCTCAGTTTTATCTTCACATGGATGGAAGAGGAAACTATGAATTCAAGAAAATTACTGAAGAGACAGTTGAGTTTGGTTCATAACCTCCCCCCCATCAGCAACCATGACTGTTAACAATACTGGACATGGAAAGGCAGTGTACATTGTGATATAGCAAAGCTGCTTGACTTATTCTTTAAACTGATTACTAGGAATATGATAACAAGTTGTCAGTACATTTACTATTATGTAGAATATTACTAATTTGTGTTCATGTTGGTTTAATTATTAATATGCTCTAAGAATGTTCTTATTCTTGTGTTGTTTTTAATCTGCCTAAATTAAATTGGGCTTAAATCACTGTAATGTTGATTCATCCTGGGATGTACACAGTCTGAAGTCAGCTAATTTGACTTCTGTTTGACCATACTTCCTCTGGGGAAGGCCCTTATTAAAATTAGATTCACTACCTCTTCTCTGCCCATTACAATAGACATGAATTTCTACATCAAATCCTAATATATCAGTTCATTGTATGTACTCTTTTCAGGTTAGGACTTACGGTATTACTGCAACATTGTACAGGTTAGTTGGCTTTTCCATTAGCCAAGGCTGTGGAGACCTTCTGTTCGCAGCAATGCTGGATTGATGGGAGAAATGACCCTTAGAATTCCTTTCTAAAGAGATGAATTCAGTATCCTGTGGCCATTGCTGCTCACTGCTCTTTGATTCGATCCTTCCATTTGTTTTTCCAGCTCAGCACAAATAAAGTAACAATATTCCATTTGGCCTTTATATTCCAATTTCAGAAGGACAAATAAGAGGAATGAGAACGGAACAATTAAAGAGGAAAGAAAGCAAAACTAAAAAAACAGGAACCAAAATCCTTGTTCTGAAATAAAGATCATGGACGTTCTCACTTACGAGAGGTCTGATCTCTTTGTAATCTGTAGGAAGTAGCATGCAGGTTCTAAATGAAATGCCTTACATATCTGCCACAAGGATTTGGGTTTTTCAGAGAAGATATTTGCTTACTGGACATTTTTCAACCTGGCATGTAGGTCTGTGATGTGTGATTTTTAAAAATAATGAAAAATGTGTAATGCTGGAGACACAGTAGTTCAGAGTCACCAAGGAACAGTTCAGTCTTTCAGAACTAATTTACAGTACTTGAATTGTTTGGCTTCCTATAAATAAGCACTTTCGAAACTGGCATGTGGTAATAGTTGCTTAAGATGAATATAAATTATTGTCCAGGTTTAGTGACATAGATGGGTTTGGCAGATGTGAGTTGGTTAGTCTCTCTGTGCAGTTGACTACCGTTCATTTTATAAGAATTCCTTAAAAGCTGTGCTGTATGACATGGTTTTGTCCCTATAATATAATATCTACATGCACTTAACATGATGGCATGCACTACATACAAAATAAATGTGATTGTTGTTTTTTTCCCTTTTGCTTAAAATCAGGATGTGTTCTTAATAATTAATCATTCATTAATTATCCCTCTTTCATAGGAAATCTGCAATTTGTCAAACTTCCAAAGAGCTAATCAAGTGTGGTATTGTTCCCAAAAGTTAGTGTTTCTAAATGCCATTATTTTCATGTATTCCGGGTAAATCAGTGGAGAGCTAGATTAGGATAAATTATTGGAGAAATGCAAAAATAATGTTAAATAACTATGTTCAGTTTATTGCCATTTCATATTTAACAAAGAATTGCCTTTTTATAATTATTTGTGGGGGGGGGGTCCTAAAAGCTGAGATTGGTTATACTAGCTGATATGAGTTTACAGACGATGCATCAGGGCATATCATAATCTATCAGGGCATATCATAATCTATCAGGGCATATCATAATCTGAAACAACCATTCCAGACAATGTCAGTATGACATCAATTTAGCATAGATGTGTTGCTTGGAATGGTTGTATCAGATTGGACAGAAATCTGACTTCAAAAGTAAATGAAGCTCTGAGATTAATTTGCTTGCTATACTTCTAGGGAAAACTTCTTTTTCCATATATCATCTTCCCTCCCCCCCGCTTTTTTTTTTTTCTCCTTTTTATGGCTATTCTACTGAGACCAGCTTTCTCCAGAAATTCTTACAAAAAACTGCTATTTTTAAAATACGTATATTCTTTTACAGGGAAATCTGGGCTAAAAGTGAGTAATAGTAATGATGGCGTGTGTGTTTTGGTTACTAACTAGAAAATCCCATTATGCATGTAGCACTTTTTGTAGAAAATCCAGGATTAGTTAATACCAACATTTTAATAGAATGCAACATTATGGAAGCAGAATGTTGTTTGTGCAGCAGGGTTAATTGTTTGTTCTTCAGCTCCCTTCAGCCACATCCCTAAAATCTTCTCTGAATCTAGGAGCAGATTCCGAGAGATATATGCTGTTGGGGAGAACCCCATATTCTGTGAACAGAAAACATTTCTGCTTATAGAAACTCTCTACTGAATTTTACCCACTGGGCACAATTTTTTAAATGTTGTCTATCAGATGGAGCTGATGAACTTCGGTAGCTCTTAATTGACGATACCAGTTGATTTACTTCAGTGCTACATGAGAAGCTAAGGGGACATGGGGATTTTAGATGACCTTCATTAAGCTCCAGTCTTCATACGTCTATCAAGAGTGCATCAAAAATCAGTCTGCCCCATGAGAAAACTAGTATGAAGGTAAAAGTAACCGGAGCAGTGCTCAAGGGGAGAAGCTTTTTTAAGATTATGCTTTTAATCTTGTTATGCACAATGATCCACAGATCAGCCATGATGGTCTTGTTATGGTCATGTGTTTTGATTGATACTGTTAATGATTTATTAAACTGGAAATTTTGGTATGATGTAAAAGTCAGCAAGAATGAAGCATCACCATATCTTATACCAAGATCTTATACCATTAGCGTGGTAACATTTCAAACTGTAGTTGATCCCAAGAGACTCTTGTTTCAGTGGGAAATAATTGCTGTACTTCAATATTTTATAGCTTGTAAAGTCAATTAGAAGGAAAGGCATATGTAAGGTTTTTTCTATATAAGTGCCTCTGGAATAATAAAATTGAAACATATAACCACCTAGGTTTTTCTTTTTAATTGGTGTCATATGAAAAGTTTTTACAACTCTACAGTTGATTGCCATATATAGTGGTTCGTCTTTCATATTTTTAGGGGCTGATCCCAGTTAAAATGAAACAAGATTTCACATTTTATTGCATCAGGCCTAAATTACAAACATTATGGAGTCCAAATTTCTGTGTGCATGCCTTCTGTTTTTCAACTTTCTAACACGGGATCCAGTCAACAGGGAACCAAGAACCTACTGTAAAATAAAGCTCTATTTCAAGACCACTTTTTTCTCCAGTCTGATCCCAATTCCTGTTTTTGTTTGTTTTTTGTTTTTTGCTTCATCGTAAAAAAAACCAGAAGTAAGAGGAAGTTAGAACCTGGAAAGTGTATATATTCTGCATGCTAAGAACGTATTTTGCTCTAATCCTTAAAGGCACAGTAACCAATTTCACACATTGTGCTAATCTGTAATGTGGTTTGTTTGGTTTTATTTCCATGTTGCTTGAACTCAGGCATTGGGATTTATTTCATCAAACATTAAACCATAGTTCAGTGTAATCTTTGAACCCAGCCAGTATATTAAGCGGGTTGATAGTAATTTACAAAAGCTTCTCTGATTGCACCTGTTGTACCAACTTGTCGTTGCCAGTAAGGGGTGTGACTAAACTGCTCATTTAGTACCTGGCCTAACAGTGATTGTTAAAGGGATTTTTTTAAAAAGTAACTGACATTTTATATCTTATGACTAACTAGAACATTGTGGTCTCTGGTTGCAACATATAAAGGCTGACATAACCATTTTTTTGTTTCTTCTTCACCCACACTACTACATTCCTTAGACATGAAAATCAGTTCTTCCAAGCTATTACACCACACACACGTGTATGTGTTTTTATGTATACATATGTAAAAGTATGTATGTGGGTGTGTATATGCACACATAAGTTTTTGTTTTTTTAACCAGTAAGCAGAGTGATAGGAATGTTTTGGGGATAATTAATGGAAGCGTTTTATGTGAGAAACTTTTCAATAGCTTTGCTGAGTTACAATGTTCATGATCTCAGTACACAAAAACTGTTGATGAATATCTAAGTCCCCTTTGGTCTGTTATTACCATAACGGGAGATAAAGCAGGCTTGCGGAGGGCAGGTTTATATTGTAAATACTTGGCATTGAACTGCACAGCTAGTAAAACGTAAGCAGGAGAAATCTATTTGGAATCCAATCAATGACAGTTTATGCAAGGAGTTTTCAGAATATGAAGCATAGGTTTTGCTATTTGGAACAGGAAAGGGGAATCAAAATTCTGATGGGGCATGTTTTAGGACCCATTTTAGAATGTTGGGATCATCACCCAAGCAGGCTTTGATTGAAACACACACGTACCTGCTGTTAAAAGACCTAAGCACCATGTGTGTTGTTTTCAGACAACACATTCAAAGTATGTTAAAGCACTCCCTGTCATGCATTGGCAGTTTATCCAATGGAGTTGAAAGATCCAAGCTATAAAATTCTATTGATCCTCAGTTTCAGGAGGAAAAGATTGGTTTTATTTCTTTGTTTACTGAATTAAACATAGCCATTTTTGGTTTTTTATTGATAATTATGGGAGATCTCAGACTATTTTCCACTGCCCATAGACTTTTGTCCTTTCTAATCAAGTGGTATATCATCTTCTGATAATCTTTCGTCCATCAAAAAGGTTAGATCTGTCAATTTTCACATCAGTTCATAGCTAGGCAACCAAACTGCTCTTGGCTGAGGTGAATGGGGATGATAGAAGATGAGATCTAAACCCTGAAACTGCTAATAATTAGATTAGGCAAAAAAAAAAAAATATAGGCAACTTTAAAAATACAGACATACCATCAATCTAAACCAATGCTATTCCATGTGATATATTCACTTTCTAGATACTATTGTAGAAGTACATAGTACATACAAGTACTATGCCTAAGACAAACAAATTGCTCCAGATATTTATGTGATTTTAGTTTCTATTGAACATTCACCACAAAAAAAGTCTTAGATTTCAGGTAAGATACGTGTTACAGCTTTTATCTGTTCAGACATTAGCAGAAGTTTACAAGTAAAATTTAAATCAGGCAGTTCTCAACCAACATTAGTAAGTAAAGTAAAGGAGGAAAAAAAAAACCCCAAGAGTCCTAGATTTGTGGCAGAAGTAATTTACTGTAAGAAAGTGATATACAATCTGTGTTGGACACTGATGCTTTCCTCCCACCTCGCTTAAGTGGCAGGTCAGTATGAGTGTCCATCAGCTGATGAAAAACTGTGTCAAAGAGGACCGTTCTCTACCATAAACCCAGATGCCAACTCTGTTTCCATATTTTCACTGGCAACAATAATTCAGTTTCTGTTGCTATTAACTATAATATCCACTTATCTTCCAATATGATATCTGCTATCATTTTCCAGTACGTGCTAATTCATTCTATGTAAGACAACTTTCTGAATGCAAAAGAATAAATGTATATAATCCAACATCTGAAGTGGCATTATCCAAAAACAAACAAAACCCTTCAACCCCCAGGACATTCCATCGCTGATGGCTATCCTTGAGGGAAAAAGAATTCTAGAAAATAGGATTGCTTTCACAAAAAAGTTTACTATGTCTGTTTTTAGTAGTATACAATTTTTATTTTTTTGTTGATTAAAGCTGCTTTTTCCCTGTCATCACAGCTTAAATACAGGAAATGCTGGGAGATGAAAGCATACTTTTCAACACACTGGAGATGTAGAAAGAAGATAATTGAGAAATTGCACAATTTGCCGTTTCAACAAGGATGTCTTGTTTAAAGCATTCAGCAGAGCTAGAGAACTTGTTTATAAAGGGAATTTAAGAGGGCTTTTTTTCTCTGCAGGCTCCAGTTTCTCCAGCAAATGAAGGCAGGATAATCTTTACTAATAACCCTAGGAATGTTAATAGTTCTTTCCCATAAAAAGTTTATTAGATGTAAAATAAAGCCTAAATTCTAGGGGAACAGGGAAGCAACATTGTTTGTATATACAAATAATACCAATGCAATGATGCAAATGCATAGTAGTTGCAGTCAAAAGTTGATGCTATTTAGTCACTATATAGTATATGACTAGACATCTAATAGAAATAAAGTGAACCAAAGGTAACATTCACTGAGTTCATTCATTCAATATTAGAAAATGGTAGTATTGGTTCTTCGGTTTAATTAGACTATGATTTGACCAGCTTCAATCAAGATGTCCTTATGTTATTATCATTAAGAAAGTTTTATCCTTGATAG